ACAAGGAAGAGCCGGAGCGCCCTTAAGGAGGAGGGACTACAATCGTGACAATGCTGTTGTGAACTTATCTTAACCCCAATATTCCTGCCATATAAGATTGTGAGTAAAATTCCGGCTGGAATGCATAGATCCCTGAAGTAACACACAGACCTCTGTGCCGTAAGGATTCTCCAGAGCGCAATTTAAGCTATAACAGTCAACTCTTGTGTCCTGACTCCTGATATATATCAAAAGCAGCAGTACCAGAAGATTGATAGCTGTCTTAAGAAATCAAGATGTCATGTCGTTTGCCAAACCACTTTATACCATACGGTGTCGCAGGAAGCCGGAGCCTACCCAGCAAGCAACGAGCACAAGGCGGGGTACACCCTGGACCACTAAGAGTCAGGATCTCAGTTTAATATCTCATTCGAAAGATAACGACCACTACGGTGTAGTGTCCCCACCATTATACCAGGGCATTAGGATCCACACAGACCGCAGGTTGGGCACCCCCTGCTGGTCCACTAAAACTACTTCCAGCAACAACCATAGCTTCACAGGAGATCTCCCATCCAGGTACTGACCAGGCTCAACCCTGCTTAGCTTCAGTGGGTAGCCAGTTAAGAGATGGAGGGTGATATTGTTGCTGGCTTAGAAATCATGATATCGTTTCCAAATATTTGAATTAGACCAACATTTGCATTCTGTTGGAACTAATACCTACCAATGTGTAGCTGCATAAATTGAATTGACATTTATGAACGATTGCAGTTGAATTTGTACTTTATCCCCATTAATCATCAGACTTAGGCAATTATGCCCCATATGTTTTTCATCTACAGATAGTAACAGTATGTTTATTAAGACATTTCAAGGCAACATTCCAAAATAAACTTACAATCTTCCAAAAAATGATAAAAATGTTTTTCTCTCCTACAGAAGAATACAAGACATTAACTATTTAAATAAGAAAAAAAAGGTACAGTAGGTAGAAGATCAATTCAAGAAATTAGTTATATAATTTTCTTATAAAACTGGCAAAAATACTTTAAATTGTGAAAATATTATATTCTTCAAGGAATAGTGCAATATGTTCACTGTACAAAGAAATAAGGAAAAGACTGGCAATTGCATGTTTAATCATATAGAAAAGCTGAATGTGTTCCATTTCATATGGATTCATTGCCCTATAGATCTTTTTTTCTGAAAATACAATTCAACAATTCAATCTTATGCATTATATAAAGTTATATTTAACTTATAAACTTTAACTTTAACTTGTAATACAGTTATTTTTAACCCCACCTGGTCTGCTGGATGAACACCTTGTCATAAGAAGATAGAATTTCTACACCTTGGAGAGATGGATAAGAGCTGGATGGAAATGCTGGGAACTTACCCCATGGAGAGCTGGTGGTTGGCATGCTTTGCAGTTTGTCCTGAACTCACTTGAAGAAGGCTCCACAATTTAAATGTTTTTTCATTTGCAGTGTGTGATGCAAATAAGTACCGAATTAATGATCATGCAATGTCCATCATCATTCTGTAGATGTGTTCAGTCACCCAGGATGCCCATGTCCAGGTGATGGCCTGTCCTGCTCACCTCATTCACCCTGCTCCTTCTCAAGCTCTGTCCTGGACTGGCTGCTGAAGCTCCGACATCCACCTGCTCAGGGAACCCAGGAATTCCAGGCTCCCCCGGCAACAATGGAGTGCCAGGAAGGGATGGGAGAGATGGGAAAGATGGAAGAGATGAAGCCAGTGGTCTTAAAGGAGAGAAGGGAGAGAGGGGTAAGTAAGCAGGGATTCATACAGTATGTTTCAAATTGGAAACACAAAACTTCCCAAATCCCACAAAATGCAAAACCATGGGTGAGGTGTTAAGAGCATAGTAAATTGTGAATCATGAAATAACCATCCAACCATTTTCTAACCGCTTTTCCATGGGTCACAGAGTAGCCAGAGCCCATCCCAGCAAACAATGGGTACAAAGCAGAATATACCCAGGATAGGACATCCGTCCGTCATAGGAAACACATAAACACAACCACACACACACTCACACCAGGGCCTATTTCCCCAGAAGGTCATTAGCTTACCAGCATGTCATTGAACTCTGGGTGGAAACTGTAGAGGAAACCTTCAGGAATACAAGGAGAACATAGAAACTCCAGGCCAAGAGCACTCCAGATCTGGCACCATTGAAACCAGGTCCCCAGTGGTATGAGGCGGTAATGCTAACCACTGGACCATGCTGCCCATGAGATAACCATGATTTGTATATTTTAATAACAAATCAAATCGTTTTTGAAGTGAGTCATTTTTTTCTTAGAAGGCATATTAGAATTTAAGTGAGGTCAAAAGAAGAACATATCTAATTCAACTTGATTATGCTCCTCTTTGTTTTTAGACATTATATAGATTTGTAACAATAATGTATCTACAGTAATAATGTTTATCGGGAAAACATGATTACACAACACTATTTTAAAAAATAAAAACGTAGACCCTGCTGGTATTGTACAGTATACAGTATATCTGAGCCTCTCTGGGCATCTGAGCATCAGACTTTGACTTGTTCCCCAAATCAAAAGGTACGAGTGGGAAACAATCAAGACCGTAGATCAGTGCATTTGCAATTGAATGTGATTCAATAATGCTTGGTTATAACTTTTGATCTAATCGACTCAGTCTCGGGATACAACTACCTGATGGCACCCTGCCATCCGGGCCCCACAGTGTTTCTGAAAAAAAAAATGTTCAGATCAAAATCAGATCAGAGCAAAAAAACACCCATCCTTAAGCTAACTTGGGTCTGAAAATCCAGCACTGAGGAGTAGTGTGTGAAGTTGTCCTACAACATTTAATTTGAAGTTGCAAACCTACTGTAGGCCTGTTGTTATAACTTCTTAGTTGAAAATCAAACATCCCTTATAGAATAACAACTATGCTTGCCAAAGAACTTTCTCCTATTACTGTATACATATATATTATATATGGAAAATTAGTAAGATCATTTAGTATTACAACTTATATGTCAGTTAATGTATCAGTATTGGCAAATTTGTTAATCATACATTTAAACAATTATAAAAAATAAAAACTTAAAGTGACAAATTAACTAAAATGTTTATACAAATTGTTCACAAATAAACTAAATGTTTAAATAACAAATACTGTGTTGACTCTTCATTTATCCCCTTAGTAAATATAATTTTGAATTTTTTTAAACTGAAAAAGTTGCTACCTATTTAGAAATAAACTGCAAAATTCTGTAAAAGATTTATGAAGAAGTGGCATCATTTTTTCAGTGAAATATGGACATGTGATGAGTGCTTAATGTGTCCGTATTTTACTGAAAAAACATAAATAAACTTTATTTTCTCATTAAATCAACTCTATTAAGTGCTGGCTGTACAGTAGACTGCAGACCAATGTCGTCACCCAGTGCAACATTTTTTCATTTCCATTTGTCCACATTTCTAAGATGTGCTAAACACGTGATTAGTGCATGCGATAAGTCATTGTAACACCATATAATGTCTGAAATCTGAGCCAAAATAATGTTCAATTAAATTCACTGGAGAATGCTATTAAAATAAAATGATTTATTATTACAAAGCCACAGCCACAGAAGACCCAGGACAGGGATTACAATTTCAGATGAAAACACCAATGATTACAGAGTGGAGAGGTCATATGGTGTGGAAAAACAGCTGTTGTGCAATACTCAGGAAGATCTATGGTGCATCAAGGGCCAATGAGACACTCGGTGAAAGGTCACCAAGTACTGTGAGACCCTGCTGGAGCTTCTCACTCCTTTTAGGATTGTCCCCATCTGTCTCTTTTTTATTTCTTTTTATATTTGGTCATTGCAATCTGAAAGAGAATGCATCAATCTTTTGCAGGAATATTCCTGTATTATGCTTTTCTCGATTATACAGTAAATCACCGTAGTGAGATAAATAGCCAACCTGCAGCTCCTTTAGCAAATCACCCGTAATGGCTACATGGACATACAGTACTGTCTTCACTGTACTGTGCATACTGCACTACTTGGACATAATATATTGCATACACCATGGAAACATAGCAGCTTTATTTATATTGAGTTTTGTCTGTGTTTATTTTATTTTATTTCTATTACATTATTATCTATTATTATGTAACCTTATTTTTTGTAACCTTAATTTTGTGATTCCTCCCCCTGGTGAGTTCGTAGAAAAGACATTTCATTGCCAGCAACTACTGCTGCATGCTGTATTGTTGCGCATTTGATAAATAAACTTTGATTGATTGACTGGTTGAGCTTTACCTTGTGCAGACAAATGGCAAGACTATGGGATAGGAAACATTGACTTGATAATATTAGATCTAATCAAATATAACAAAGACAATGATCGTGATGACAATAAAATGGGAAAAAAAAACATCTTCTCTGGTTTGTACAACAGAAAAAGAACTGTATGCATATTGACAATCTTGAAATTTAATTTGTTTCTAGACCCACCACTGGATTAAAGATAGTTGTCTATGGAAGGAGCCATAAGAAAGCCTACTCTACTAGCACATTAATGCCAAGTCACAGAGAAGATGGTTTGAAGATGCCTTCAGAGTGGAGCTTACCTGTTCTTGCCATGTTTCTAAATTGTCCCTATGTGCTTCAGTGTGTGGATCTTGCTATGGACAGGCGTCCTACAAAGGGTGTAGTCCTGCCTCATGCCCAATACTTCCTGGACAAGCTACTGGTCACCACATCCATGGTCAGGAGTAAGCAGCTTTCTGATGATGACTGAATGGCAAAGATGGCTTTGAAGTTTCGTCACCATTCATACTGTTTTTTAAGTAATCCAAGCCTTCTGTCTTTTAAAAATAACAAAGGGAAAACATACTACATTCTGTTCAGTATTCTGTTCATCCACAGTGGTGGACAGTGGTAGGAGTTTGAATCACCTCTAGAACAATAGTGAGAGAAAAGCATAACAAAATTGTTTGGAATCAAACCAGATTCTCTGAAAAGGACATCACTTTATCATCACGCCAGAGAAGACTAGTCTGAGAAAAGAAAGTGAGCCTCAATCCTATCATGGCTTGTGCAAGGCCCCCGCCCCCTGGGTAGGAATGTTTGTGGAGTAGTTTTGCAGCTGAACAACACAGATTCTTCATTAGCTTGACTTGACTTGGGAGACATCAACTCTACTGCAACAAACCAACAAATGTGAGTATGACAAATTACTACTGTATATTTTATAACTGTACTGTATATTACAGCTTCTGATAAACAGAGATGCATGTTTCTAGATATTAATTTCTCTCTCTTTATATATAAATACATATGTGTATACTCACATCCTTGCAGAAAACCAGAACAACACAGAGAAAAACATGATTTTTGTTGCCAAGATCTCAGAAATAAAAACAGATGTGGTTTTATTACTTACCAGCAAAATATTACATTACATTAGTATACATTCAACCAAAATAGCATTCAATTGAAGTAGTTGAAGTAGAAAATACGTGTTTTCTACTTCAACGAAAGTATTTGGGCTATCAAATCCATCAAGAAACTAGGAGAAGAGGAAGTACAAAATCACTGAACCAGAGGAAAAAAACTTAGAAGGCTTCGTCACAGGAGCATGTTACAGCCCACCAAACTCAGAAGACAATTATCTGTTATGCAATGTAACTGGGAACAAATGTAACAAGAGAAGGTTGATAAGATTAGTTTTTCTTTCATAGATTGGGAAGTGTAACTGGAAGGATTGAAGCTGAGACTGAAATGGTAGAAATAAGTATTGACTGTCTTCTTTCCAGCTTGTCAGAACACACGCAAGGGCAGTGCTTGTGTTGTTATTGGGTTTTGTTTTTTTCAAATGATCAGACTGAGTGAAAAGACATAGCTGAGCCACAGAGGGACAATAGTCATGACAGGAGAATAGCTTAAAACTCAGCAATTCTAAACAACATGATGTTTGCAAAGCACAGTAGACTTTTCTGCCCATCTATCTTACATGGTGTTCTAAACAATTAGAAAATCAGAATCTGAAGCTATTTTATAGTTTTAGAAAAGAGAGGAGTCAGGAGTCTTTGCCAAGAAGTTTTAAAAAGCTCCCAATCAAGCCAAAGCTGAGACCTTTGAAAGAAGGAAGTTTTGTAGGACAGATTGCAGCAGTTGGACCCAGGAGAAGACTCAGGCGCCAGGCACTGGGAACTGTGAAGGAAGACCCCAGCATCATCTTTCTCCCCCCTCTACCCAAAACTGAACTCTGAGACAAACAGAATAGAGGGGAGATCAGCAGGGAAACATTGTTCAGTATAACCAGGACTGGACAATATGGCTAAGAACTACCAAAGAATTACAGAGAACAGAAATGCTGGACTGAATTAATTTGAGACACTCATTTGGAACCTGGGTTCAATGGGGTGCTTGTGGCTGGGCTGGAATGTGTCTCATTTGGAGTTAGTTTTGTGTAATGTGCACTAGGTGTTGGGTAGACAGTATTAGCTATTGAATCTTTAGAAAATAGAAAGGGCACTTAAACTATACTGTCTGCTGTTAGTCTGTGAGTCCACTGGTGATTCTGAACATTAGGCAAAGGGACAAGGGTCCTAACATCCATTATAATTGTTAAGTGGCTTAGTCGTGCACAAAGCAAGAAAAAATCTTGTTTTAGGGGTCACCTTATTGTGATGTTAACACCAGCTATAATAAAATTATTTAACCCACTTTGTCTAAAGGAGGACTGCCTGGTCATATGGTTCAGGATGTTTGAATATCTATGGCTTGGTGAGAGGGATAGGAACCTGAGTACTTATCATCTAAAGATTTGGTGGTTGAAGGGATTTTCAGTTTGTTTCTCTCCCAAATTTCTATTTGAACTCACCTGAAGAAGACTCCACAACTAAAATGCTGAAGTATTTTTTTATTTTCTTTTAACTCTTTTGTATTGTGTGAGACACATGACTATGCAAATTCATGATCATGCAATGTTGATAATTGTTCAGTCATCCAGGATGCCAATGTCCAGGCGATGGCCTGTCCTGCTCACGTCAGTCACCCTGCTCCTTCTCGAGCTCTGTCCTGGACTGGCTGCTGAAGCCCCGACATCCACCTGCTCAGGGTACCCAGGAATTCCAGGCTCCCCCGGCAACAATGGAGTGCCAGGAAGGGATGGGAGAGATGGGAAAGATGGGATAGATGGAGCCAGTGGTCTTAAAGGGGAAAAGGGAGAGAGGGGTAAGTAAACAGGGATTCATATGTTTCAAAATGGAAACACAAAAGATCTTTGATTAAACACCTCTTGAAATGCAGAGTGGTGTGAGGAACACCATAAATCATGAATCATGAAATAATTCATCCAATACAAGGTCGCAGGGGTGACAGAGCACGCTACACACTGAAAGGGATACACAGACACAAACATGCACTGTACATACACATACCAGGGCCAGTTTTCCCAGAAAACAAATAACCTACTAGTATGTCATTGGATTGCAGGAGGAAACTGGTGCACCTGATGCAAACCTGTGCAAAATGAAGAAAACATACAAACTGCGTGTAGATAGCACCCCAGAAAGTGAACCCAGGACTCCAGTGCTGCAAGACAGCAAAGCTAACCACTGTGAAGTA